CTCTTTCCAGTGGCTGCTGTGTCTGGGTTTAAATCCTCGCACCAGTCCTCCTCTGCAGCCCCATTTCCGACTCCTCCCACAATGGGCTACACCTGCCAGCACTCCCATATCCTTCCAGCTTTACTGGGCTGCCATCGTGAGTCTGAGCAGGTGTGGCCCCATGCCATAGAGCCAATCTTCTCCCAGCTCCCACACAGGCAGGCGCTGTAACTTGGGGGAACTTGCCCCCCAGTTATGTCTTAAGGGGGAAGTTACTTGCATTACCCTGGCTCAGAGCACACCACAGCTATTTAACATATCTGTGCAACCAGTTAAAGGTTATAGATGTGTTAAATGACCACACAAGAGGTTAGCTGCAAAGCTGTTGCTATGCAAAACAGCTCTCAATGGCCCTGCTCCATGTGTCCCTTCCCCCAACCCACACCTGGGGGAGGGGGGTGAGGACATCTTAATATTTCCTGGGCACCTTGAGTTCTGGACCCCATTCCAAATCCCTATTTGGGGCCCCCCTCTTGGCTGCACCCTGTTACAGAGGCCCACAAAAAGCCTTAAGTCTTGATTTGGGAAACAGGTCTTTGGAGGATGAAAGGGCCCTGCCTTGAGCTCTCCAAAGCTATTTTAAAGCTCAAGATTTGCTTCATATAATTAGACCCATCGTTGCAGAATGATGGAAAAGTGTGGTAAGTGTTAGAGAAAAAAAAATGTAGGTAAATATTTCAGCTTAGGAGCCTAAATATCCATCAGAAGCCTTGGGAATATCTGTGCCCTTTAACTTCACAATTCTGCTTTTCAAAATTTATTCTAAAGAACAAACGTACAGGTTTGCATTCTGTGAGTGAGGCGTTGCAGAATTATTCATGATCGTGAAAGAATCCACTGTCTAAAAGTTCAGTGTTAGGAGGTGCGTTCCATCCAGTACAGTCAATACCTGTGTGCTGTGCAGTACTAAAGCAGGCAGCAGTTCAAAGCACGTGTGAGCGCCGGTTCACCCGCAGACGGGGTGCAAGTTCCCTGCTAGCAGAGATCCCTGAGCGTGTGCTTCCCCGTGTGGCCGCCGCCCAGAGTGTATCGCTAAGGCTCGCTGTCTCGTCCTCTCTTCAGCAGGGGCTGCAGCCCGTTTGCGGCCGTTTGTCTCACACAACACCTGGCCCCTAGCACGACACCCCGCACAACACAATAGGTCCCTGGTAAAGGTCGGTGCGATGAATAAATGACCTGCCTGGAAAGAAGACTGAAGGAATATGCACCAAAAGGTTAAGAACGGTTCTTTCTGGATATTTAAACCTCCTCCTTCTTTATACTGTTTTCGCATACTGCACGTTTTCTCCAGTGGACGGAATATAATTTTGTGATCAGAGGACAGCAGCATACTGCAGTTAAAAAATTGTAGCTCAGAGCCCACCAGGACGTGTTCTGAGTACGAGAACCGTGTTTGGCTCTGCCCTGCTCACCGAAGCCGTTCTCTACAAATCAGAGAGCAACCCCCACACGGGGTAAGAGGTGATTATTCTCAGCACCAAAGATCCGGGGTGGGAGGGGGCACCACGCTGTGAATTCTTCTAGGAGATTTCGGTGCTGACATGATTTACAAAGTAGTCCATCTTTATACCAACGTTCAAGACAAATCTTCAAGGGAAATTGACTGGCTTAATTTTACTTTGTGAAAGTTACTGTTTTGACATCTTCATCCCCGGAATTCAAACCAGTCATTTTATCTAGAGCGTGGATGTCATCATGTGTCTTTATGACAGCCTCAAGTTTATGCTTTACTTATCTATCTACCTACCTATCTATCTATCTGTCTGTCTATCATCTATCTATCTATCTTATATCTCCTCAGGAAGACAGCACTGTTCAGTGCCTGCTACATCCTACAGAAAACTTCAATCTTAGGTCCCAGCATTAGGAGCTCCTGATTTGGGTCCCATAAGTCTCTTTAAAATAAATGACCTAACTCTTTACTTCTCTGTAATGAAAATGATCTGTTTTTTTCTGGTAGAGTTAAAACATACATTTATTTAAAAGCTGGCATCCTGGTATTCTTAGCCAGGGACATAGCACCATGAACAACTACAAAACAATCGTTTTAGGTTGTCCTCAGACTGTTTTGTTCCATGGCTCGATGCCCTGCCACCCCCACCCCCACCCCCGCCACTCTGGGTTTGCAAAAGGCCCAGGTCCAGATAAAAATATTTAAATAGTCAAACTTGTTCCTCTGACACCCCCCGCCACCTGCCACACCAGGTCTCCTTCCTCGTTAGTTCTGGTCCATGCCCCGTCACTCACAGAGACACACAGCCCATTATTACCACTTGTGTCCCGTGCTCTCCAGACAGAAATCCTATTATTCGGTTTTGCTGTCACCCCGATGCAAACGGATCTGCCCAGCGTTCATCTCCTGCGCGTCTTGTTACATAACAGCGAGGCTTAGGGTTTCCAGTGGTTCACTGATTCCCGCTGGTGGACTTCACGCTTGCGTTTGGCACGCCCTGGCCCCAGGCTGTCCTTCCGATGGCGGTGGTGGTTTCGTGCGTGCAGGCTCAGTGCTCCTCACTCCATGCATCTCACCGCCGGTCTTCCAGGAACCACGTTCCAGCTCACCAGCTCCTTCCCAGTGCTACCAGGACGGACTGGGAAGGAGAGGGAAAACGCTAATCAGAAAATGGGACGTCTGAAAGTGCCCCCCCCGTGCTCTCCAAGTCCTTGGAGTCTGCGCCTGCGCCTTCCTCCCGGCAGCCCCACGGCGCCGCTGCCCAGCAGAAGAAACCGGCGCACGGTGGAGGGGAAGCTGTCCTGTCCGACGGAGAAGCAACCGAGAGGCCCCGCATCAGCAGCGCACGGGGCCTGTCTAAGCCCAGGGGCCCCTCAGGCCTGCGCACTGCGCCCAGCCTCTGGGGGACTACAACCTACTCCTGCTCCCAAGGGCCGCCCTTCCCTTCCTCCGCAGACAGCCAGTCGCCCTGGTCCTCGGGGAGGCCTCTCAGGGCGACACCAGTCAGGCACACGGACAGGACAGACTGGTCAATGAGTGCTTAGGCACATATATTGTTTTGGTATATCAAAGTCATTTTGTAAATTGCTACAAATCAAAGTAATTTTTAGAAGTTGGCCAATTTTCAGAATTTAATTTTTGCCCAGGTTCCCTGCCTCCGCCCACTTTTGGAGCTCGCTGCTTGATCCGCTCTGGTGGTTGTGGCGGGTGCACCTGAATTCGCAGCGGTGACAGTCACCCCCGGAGGTGCTCTGTGCTCTGTCACCCAGACCTGTGGCGGGTCCCCTTGCCTAACCACAGAGGCTGAGAGTGCTGCTTTGTGCACCTGGGCCTCGTCACTCAGGAGGCCACTGTCTGTGCCTGCCCCGTGCCCTCCAAAGCTGCATCTCCTGTTTTTTTATAACTCCACCTCTTGAGGGAAATTGGAGCGTGGTTAGCTACCATACCTTGTCAGTGCGTGACCCTGTAAGGCAGCACTGCCCGATGCAAATAGGCTGTAAACTCCATTAAAATTTTCTGAACGATCACATTAAAAAAGTGAAAAAAAAAAACAAACCCAGCGAAATTATTTAAAAATATCTTATTTGACTCAATATATCCGAATAGTATCATTTTAGCATGCAACCAATAGGAAAATTTTTAACAAGATATTTATCTATTTTTGTACGAAGCATTCGAAACAGGGGTGTGTTTCACACTTGCAGTACATCCGAACTTGGACTAGCACATTTCAAGTGCTCGGGGGCTACGTGTGGGCAAGAGGCCATGGCATGAGACAGCTCAGATGGACAGGAAGTGCGGCAGGGCTCTGGGAGATCATCCCACCTGACTCCTTGCTTACAGGAAAGTTAAGGACGCTTTCTGAAGTTCTGCAACCACGAGGTGGAAAAGGCAGGATTAGGATCCAGTTACCCTCTCCCGAGCCTGTGGTTGTATTCACGAAGCTGATCAACAGCAAAGCTCGCACCTGCTCTGGGCTCTCTTTTCCACCAGGCTGGGCAGGCAGGGATGAGGCCCCTCCCCCCGCCCTCCCCTTTCTCCTAGTTCAACTAACAGCTTCATTGGAAAGCGATTTGGCTGCAAACCAAGTCCACGGTGGGATCAAAATTTTCCGTATCTTTCCATCAGATAATAATGGTTTTTTTTTATGACCTGTCACCCTTGTCCCCAGAAACTTTTAGTTCCAACAGGGTACTTAAAAACTCTGATTCGTTTATGGGATGGTTCTCCATAAAGATGTCCATCAGAATCACTTATGGAGCTTTTTTTTTTAAGATTTTATTTATTTATTTTTTTAGAGAGGGAAGGGAGGGAGATGAGAGAGAGAGAGAGAAACATCACTGTGTGGTTGCTGGGGGTTATGGCCTGCAACCCAGGCATGTACCCTGGCTGGGAATAGAAACATATGGAGCTTTTTAAAAAAGAAAATCTTATTTATTGACTTGAGAGAGACAGAGAGAGAGAGAGAGAGAGAGAGAGAGGGAAACACCGATTTGTTGTCCCACCTACTTATGCATTCATTGGTTGCTTCTTGTTTATGCCTCGACCAGGGATCGAACCCACAACCTTGGCATCAGGACAATGCTCTAACCAGCATTTTTTAAAAATGCAAATTAGCCCTGGCTGGCGTAGCTCAGTGGATTGAGCACAGGCTGTGAACCAAAGTGTCGCAGGTTCGATTCCCAGCCAGGGTACATGCCTGGGTTGCAGGCCATAACCCCCAGCAACTGTACATTGATGTTTCTCTCTCTCTCTTTCTTCCTCCCTTCCCTCTCTAAAAATAAATAAATAAAATCTTTTTAAAAAATGCAAATTACTTGCTCCCTACTCCAAAATTCTGACCTAGGGGTCCATGGAAAAATTCTTGTAGACAGCTGCTTTATTTTTTTTAATGATTTCCAAGTGACCTGAAGCATGTCCCCAACTCACAATGACGTCACCAGCTGTCAGAGGGCCACTGACACGGCTTGATCCCTTGCGGCCAGTCACAGGTCTGGTGTGAAGAAAGAGCCTGCTCTCCAGGAAAGAAACCTGAGAAACAGGTGCCCAGTACCTCCGGGAGGCGGGGTTTGCTGGCCTTTTCCTCACACTCTTTCCCTGCACCCGGGAAGACTTTAGCCTCACTTCCCGACCGACCGCACAGCCTCGCCCGCGGTGCGGTGTGCGTGTGAGCCTGAGCCGGCGACAGGCAGGAATGCAGCAGGCGGGACTGGCTCTCGTGGCCTTGGCTGCCTGTGTGGCTCTTTGCCCCTCGGACGGTGAGTGGGGGTGCCTGCTTCTCAGCCTCCAGGGGAAGGAGGGGGGCCTGCCTCCCAAGAGGAGGGGGGCTGCCAGCAATTTGGAGCAGGAATTTTGGTCTTCGAATAGGAGTTAACCGTGGTCTACAAGATAACAGTGTAAGCTTAAATTCCTGATCTGCAGGAATTTGGGGGAAGGGACCTCATGTGAACAGAAGTGTTAGAGATTCGCTGCCTGGTGGATGAGTCCCTTCTGTAGGGGTGCAACTTTGAGCTGCATTGCCTTTTCTGATGGCAGCATCTTAGAAAACCCCAGGGAGAGGTAGGGTGGGACCCCTGTCTCCCCTCGCCCTAACCCGCTACCCTGGGTGCGCATGCTCCTGGAAGAAAGACAGACTTGACCTTCTGGGTTGGGGTTGGGTAAATGGCAAGTTTTCCGGACAAAGTCGGCTCTGTGGCTACTGAAAACCTAAACTTCAGTCCGACCTTAAAAGGGGGCGCAGGATACAGGAGACCGGCCTGTACAAATTGTATCACAGAGAACGAAACTTGTGAGCTGCCAGCATTCATATGGGGACTGTGCCTGCTTCTCAGCTTTCCCACTGCATTCAGAAAACCCTGAATACGGGTGCTTCATACCAGGTGGAGTCGACTCTTTTCTCTCCCCATCTTTTTCCCTAAAACTTTACCCTGAAAAGATTCTCTAAATCCAGAGCAGAGAGGAAATATATTTTGTTGTGTCTGCTTTAAAAAAAAAAATTAAGCCAACTTTTAAAAACAGACCGATTTCGCAAACACCTACTCACACAGACACACATACAAACTGGAGTTTAAATCTGCTCTCGACAACGTGGGTCTGGCAGCCCTGGTCCCGGTACCTGGTGGGGACCAGCGGGAGCAGACCGGCCTCGGCCTTTCTCTGGAGCTGCTGGCACCTCGGGAACTGCCTGGCGCCGGAGGTGTTTGCGTAGGGGCCAGCGTAGTGCACCCGTGACCTGGGTTGATATTACCGAACCTGGGAAAAAAATCTGGATCATCTCTTCCATTTAAAAGCATAAAATGGATTTCTATCCATCCATTTTAGCAAGACCGAGAACAGCGTATTTCATTTTCTGTTTCTGTACGATTCTTTAGAAAAATTCACCACTGAAATTGTAGGACTCGCTGTGGTCGCTGTTTCTCAAAGGTCCACCTGCTCAGGCTTTATCTAAACGAGGGCATTTTGGCAACGCAAATCCACCCGCCCGCAGGGCCAGGAGGCGGGGTGGGGAAGGGAGGGTGGAGGGGCAGGCGGGCCCAGGGCCGAGTTCCTGGGACTGGGTCCAGGCAGAGGCGGTGGGGCAGCAGAACGCAGACTCCCCGTGTTTGGAGAAGAGCTTCGGGGATGAACGAAAGACAGGGAGCTGAGGAGACCCAACCTTAGCTTTTGGGTGAATTTGGGGCTAGAGGAATTTTATACATCGTGTGAGAAAGCCCAACCCTCCACCCTTTAAAAAATGAGCGCTTTGGGGTTAAAATGCATGAGAAGAGGCCGGAGCACAGCTGTGGAGGTGAGAGCGCCACCCACTGCCGTCCACAGCAAACTCTCAGCGTCCGTGTCCCAGGACCCTGGGGAGGCTCTGGGGGACCCCAGCTGGGTAGGGCTGCGGACTGGCAGGACGGGAGGGAGGAAGGGCGGGAGGCGGGGGAGACCGAGTGGTTCGGGGAAGGATGGGCAGGTGGCCTTGGCAGTTGTTGCAGGCTGGCGGAGGGGACAGGGGAGCGGCCTGTGCCAGCTCGGGACTCTGGGAACCACATTCTGTCCTTCCAGGTATTGACTGTTCTGTTTGCTGACTGACCCCCCTGCAGCGGCCCCCGGATAGGGCAGCGCAGTGCCTGGCATTCCCGAAGTGTGCTGCACAAATCAGGAAGCAGCAAACGGAAGCCCTGGGTTCTGCCCAAGGGCGAGAGGGCACACTCCACACCCACTGGCCTGGCGCCCGGCTCCCAGGGCTGGGTATCGAGTCCATAAAACTGTCTGTCACCCACCCTCTGGGGCCCCGAGCCAGACTTTAAAGCCACACGCAGGGCATCTCTGGGCCACACTGGAAGAAGAAGAGTTGTTTTGGGCCACATACTAAATGCATCGCAACATATAATCACACACACAAAAACATCTCATAGTGTTTTAAGTAAATGTACGATTCTGTGTTGGGCCACACTCACAGCCACCCTGGGCTGCACGCAGCCTGCGGGCCACGGGTTGGACAGCCCCAGTAGGGCTTCGTGGGCCAGGCCGTGGCCACCAGATGCAGGCTGGGGACGTGGCTTCTCTGAGTCCCAGACTGGCTTCCTTCTGACCGAGACCTACTTTCTCAGATGAGCATGGCTCCTGATTACACAGACACTTGCTTGCTGGACACTTGCTGCTTGCATCCTGTGTAAAAGGAGGCCGTCTCTCGCGTGTTTTAATCACAGCAGCCTTCCTAGGAAGGGCTCCCAGGGGCGCGCGTGTGTTCCCTGCCGTTGGGACTCTCCCCGTCTGCAGGAGTGGTCCCTGAGGACGTGGCTTGCCAGGTGACCGGCCCTTCAGTCTCTCCCCAGGCGTGCCCTTTAGTTAAAACAGCATGTCCCTCATTCCTCAACACCACTGTTAGATCAAGGGTCTAGATTTCGGTTAAAAACCCTGGTCATCGTATCTGTAATGTGGTTCAGGGCTTTTAAAAATGCCCTTTGTTATGTCCGGAGGCAGAGCGATTAACAGCAATCTTCTCAAACTTGAGTCACATGCGAGCCCCCTTGAACGAAGCCATTTTTTTTACTCTCAATCATGACTTTTAAGTTATTTTACTCTATTACTTGATGTATTCATGTAAGATTGTACATCTCTCTCTTTTCTGGAACTATAAAATCAAAATACATTTAAAGTTTAAATAAAAACAAAACTACAAAGCCAGGAAGACTGAAAGGTAACATTAACTTAATATAATAACACTGTTTGGCGAAACCTAAATCACCTCTCCAAGCACGAACACAGCGCTGATTCTTGAGGTTCCAGTTTTGAGTTTGATGGGCATGTGCTACCACATTGAGAGTAAGAGGTGTTTTCCCCACCACTTCGTTCTGTTTGAACCACGGTGCTGTGATGTGGCCCTCCCTGAGCATGAATGTGTTGCGAATCCACTCTGGTCTGCTCTGATTGGCCTGGGACAATTAAGGCAGGAACTGGCTTGTTGACAACACTAACACAAACAAGTGAAGGTCAAATGTTCTGAAGGTGCTCTTTTAAGATGGCCTTCCAGAAGGTCCAGGACGTGTCTATTTAAAGATTATCGCTGAAACGACCTACTAAAATTTAGGAAGTGTCTGTAGAGCTCACGAACCCTGAGAGTCACCCCTGAACCCCTTCCCAGAGGTCAATGAAAGGGCAAGTTTGAGCAATGTTGGCTTACTCAACTAGGGAGAGTCTGGGTGGGCTTTGACCTCCCGCAGGCCAAGTCAGAATTTGGGAAGTTGCTTAATCACGCTGGGCTCCGGTTTTCTTATCGGTAATACAGAATAACGATGGTCTCTTACCTGGTTATTTTCATGATTAAATGAGAATATATGGAGTGTGTCTGGCCTATATTGGCTGTTTAATAATTGTTAGTATAAAAAATTCAAATATAAAATATAAATGTAAAAAGATGAATTCACCTCTTCTCCATTTTTTAAAAATCTCTCTCCCTTCCCCAAAGGTAATAACTCTTCTGGGTTCTCTGTGTCCTTCCAGAACTTCCTCTGTAAATTTACAAATATGAACCCATTTATATCCACACGTATTTTTAAAAAAATAAATAGGGCCACAGACTACATATTGTTATATTTATTTTTTTAATTAATTGGTCTAACCATGATTCTGTACACCTGAAACTAATATAATATTAATTGTCAACTGGAGTTTAAAGAATGTAAAAATTAACCATTTTACTTAATCATAACAGTATACCTGTTTAACACACACAATTATGTCATAAAAGTTTGCATCATTTGTTTTACAGACAACGTACAAACATGCCAGAACAATTTGGAACATTTCAGTTTCATCGATTCATTCATTATCAATCAGGGTGCTATCAAGGAAGAACACCAGACAATAATTTGAACAGGGAAAGTTCAATGTTACAAATTATTAACTATACCAAGGGATAGGCCGGAAAGAAATACTCATATTTAGAGATTTCTGGGACTGAGACAGAGTTTTCCAGAAGGCATCTTGCACCCCTTTGCTTCCCAACCGAGATCCAGACCTGGGAGAGGACACAGCCATAGCCCCCCTAAAAGGCAAAAAATAATCACTGGGTCAGCCCTCCGTTTTCAGGGGAGAGTCCTCACCGGAGGGGGGCGCTGCCGGCCGCTGCGCTGCGCCGCGCTCTCGCAGAGCCCGGTGCTGGAGAAGCAGCCCCGGTCCGAGCCCGCTCAGAGGAGCCCGGGAGAACCCTCTTCCGGTAACGTCCCTCTAGCGCCCTCTACCGGCAAAGTGTAACACGACAGCTGGAGAAGGAAAAGTTAATATTTTAAGAATTGGCAATTAAGGGTGAATTTGAAACGGAGGGGCAATAAATCGACACATTCCACAAGCACTGAATAGACACCTGGATGTCTGCGACGGGGCGGGGACTGTGCTGCATGTTGGCCTCCGTCTAGACGTTTTCGTTTGCTTGTTTCCATTTATCGAGGGCTTACTGTTTGTCACCCCTGTTCTACGCACTTTTGCGCACGAACTCATGCCATCCTCACAGCAGCCCTGTCGGGGAGGTGCCATTCCCCTTCTAGCCGACATGACAGGTAAAGGAAGTGGGACAGAGAATCAAGTAACTCACCCAACATCGGCTCGTGCGCGGCCGAGCCAGGGATCGAACCGGGTTCTCTGTCTGTGTCTGCTTAACTACCGTGCGGCGATGCCTCTCGGCATCTCTCTGTGGCCCCAATCACCCACCCCCCTTCCAGGAAGACCCCCTGACCACTCCAGCGTCCATGCTGTGGGAAGTGCTGTGACCATG